ACTTTATATTTCATTACTTTGAACATATTTCAAATTCAAAATAAATCACACTCCTTAATTATGTTGAAAATAGGTTATTCTGATTGAATTGGAATTATAATTTTAAACGTAATAATGTAGACTAACAACACAAAATGGTTAAATTAAATTAAATTGGCTATTGATGCTGTCGTATAGCACTACAATATTAATATGAAGTTAATTGAAGTTTGGAGACATTTTAAAATGCTTTTTTTCAGAAACGCATCTTACACTTGTGATGGCCAAGGGGTAGCGGTGCGCGACTGTTCTTCTGAATAAATGAAAACTATGTAACACAGTTGTTTACACTTAAATTTAAAATATTTGACCAAAGGAAAACCATAACAGGACTAGAGAGAGATGGATATGATTTAGATTTTTATTTCTGTGACTGTACGACCCACAGGAGACGCAGCATTAACAGTCATCATTTCATTCCTTTAATTCCACAGCTGACGCTGCTAAAAATGATAGATTTTCTTTTCTGGATCTCTGAGAGCAGAACTTCAATCTCCGAACCTATTAAGTTTTTTTTTTACTTTGCAATGTTATTTATGAATGGATATTTCCTGGTATGTGGGGCAGGAAACGTAGCCTTATATGGAGTTTTTGGGGTGGCAATTATACTGATCTCCTCTCCTCATGCACGAGCACCTGATACACATTCATCAGTTTACGCAGCTCATTTACACCCTTTTCGTGAAGATAGAAGAGTTTGTTGAATCTGACGTGACATGTTCGTATGAACCCTTCATATGAACAAAAATAAGAGAAATTTAGGATAAGAATTCGAACATGTTCTTGCATGAGGCCCATTGTGTCTCATTGTCTGGGTCTCTGTCATGTGAGTAGTCTCGTACATTTTTGTAACTCGYTGTTTTTGAAGTCCATGTGTTTTTGGTTAAACTGCCAGAGTGTGCTGAAACAAGCCTATGTTAATAAACTTGTTCTACGTTATGGAGCTCCTTGTCCCCGCCTCATGAGTCGCACACCCCCTAGTTTATCCCACAACATGGTTACATACTGTAGGTGTGCACAATTTCTTGAAGCAGCTTTTGATTTAATTACAGCCTTCATTCTTCTAGTGACTCTGATCAACGTGAAACAAAGTTCAGCTGTTTTAGCAGGATTTTACTGACCTTTGCAGAAGTTCACAGAGAGCTCACAACATATTAAACAGATCTGACTTCTGGGAGGAATCAGTCAAAAGGAGCACAAAATGTTACCAGCATTAGAAATATAACAGAACACGGTGAAGACATCAAGAACTGGAAAAAATATGAACTGGGCACCTGTTCAAAAGTAAAGAAAAGACAAACTGATCTGGGAGACTGTTAAAGGACTCCACAGCATCAGTGAAGCTACAGGAGTTCTGACATGTACCGCTTGTGTTCTCCATGTGTCTGGTCTCTGGAGTGGTGCTGCAGAATGGAAGACATTTCTAAACCATCCAGGATTTTAGAAGGAAAAAAATCAAACTTCCCAAAAGACTGTAGGAGCATGTGCTGCAATGTGGTGCCAAAATCTGTTTTTGGTGCAGGAAAAAGACTGGATCACCAAAAAAAATCACCCCACCACCACCACTACCACACTTCCCAAAAGACTGTAGGAGCATGTGCTGCAATGTGGTGCCAAAATCTGTTTTTGGTGCAGGAAAAAGACTGGATCACCAAAAAAAATCACCC